GTCCTGACTCACTGTGGTCATTAAAGATCCCATGGCCCTCCATGTTTCCCACCCTCTCCACCTCAAGTGGATGTGTGTGGTGAATGTTCTGAAGCAAAATGCCCGCTGTGAGGTAGGAGCTAGACATCAGCGGTTGTCGAGGTGAATTTAATTTATGTTTGGTATTAATGCTCAGAAGCTGCTAATGTTGTGCTGTGGAGTAAAACGTATATTATTGATTTGTCCTTTTCAGTACAGTACTTGAGTAAAATGAATTGAATGATCTGTTGTAGGCAGCTTTTAGACAAAGTGATAGGCTTCAGTGAAAAAAGACGTGTGTTGAAAAAATGTCTGAAGATTTGCCATGTGTAGATATTTCTATTCAATGCTTGACTAATACGCCACAATAATGTAATGTTTTTGAGTTGAATAACTTCATTTGGGGACTTTTTAAAGCAAATATTTATATATATATGTGATTATTTGTGATTAAATCAGTATATATTTCTGCCACCCCTTGAATATTTATCTATCTCTATCTATCTATATCTATCTCTACCTCTTTTCTGCCCCAAAGAAAGAGAGAAAATCAAAATTTAAAACTAATTTCTTCTCTGTGAATTAGTTTCAGAACTGGACAATCTTGCAAACCTGAGCGAGCTCGAGGTCATGGAGCGGTAATAATGGCAACAGATTGAAAACAAATTCTAAAGGAAAGCAGAGTCGAAGCAATAATGAGCAAACTGAAGGATGGATGGAGAGAGAGAGAGAGGCCGAAGATGATGGAAGAGCAGAAGGCAGGTAGAAAAGAGGAGCCAGTAACAAAAGAAGAGGGAGGAAAAGCTCCTCAACGCTCTGGCTGGACTCTCTTCCCTTCACCATTAAATATTTAACAGGCAGAACCAGAGACCCTAATGGAAATGATATCTCTCTCTCTCTCTCTCTCTCTCTCTCTCCCTCTCCCTCTCTCTCTTTCTGACCTCTGCTGGTATTTGGGAAGTTCACTAATGTCCCCAAGGTGGAAATCTCCTCCACAGTCTCCAGACTGCAACCTAGTTTGTGCATTTATGGATATTTTAGTGCACCGGCTCTCATGTTTAACCAAATGATGTGTTTTATTGCCACTGTGATCTGATTTATTGCATAGTTATATAAACTATTTTATCATCATGTTTTTTTTACAGCCTTCCTTTTTTCTGTGTGCTTTTCTTGTAAAATATTAAGTAGCCTCCTCTAGAAATCGAACACAACAACCTGAGGATGTTTCTTTCCTTCGCTGCATCGAGACCTTCTAACACCAATTTCACTTTGGCCTTAACCAAACCTTCAAACCTCTGGGATCAACACTCAGATGCATCATCTTCCAGTGGAAAAGACTGTTATATTTGCAAAGCACCCAAAGCTCTGCAGCCTGTACTAGAGTGGGCAGCACCTGGTTTTCACGTGCCGAGACAATTGAGATTCCTCCTCCTCAGGTCTCGAAAACCCTTCTAGGTTTCGCTCCTGCTGTCTAATCAGGGACTGACGTACACCTGGGATGCCAGGTGAATGTAATTAACCTGCTGCCAGGATGAAAACCTGCAGGGCTCTGAGTCTGGAACCTCAGAGGTTTGGTTGAAAAGAGTTTTTTAGATAAGGAAAGCTTTTAAGTGGGTTAATTGACCCAGAAGGATCTGAGGCGAAGTGCCGATAAGAGCAGGTTAAAGTCTGGAAACGCTGAGGAAAAAGTGTTTCACTGCTTCTCTTCCTCTGTTCGTTTCAAAGGCACATCTTCACTTAATTATAATCTAATGCAGTGGTTTTCAAACTTTTTGGTGCCCAAGGCCCATGTACCAACGCCAATCAACTATCACTCATGAAATATGTATTAACAAAGTCATTTAAGAATTCGTTTGAAAGCAGCAACACACGCATTCAAAGCCAGACAGGTCACCAAATTAAAAATGAGTTAATGGAACATCATCTAAAAAGCCTTTATTAGCTATTTCTGTGCTGTCACATATTTGGAGCAGTTTGTTAAACCTGTTACATACAAACGCTTTTTCACCAGCATAGTTGGGCACTGATGCCTCAGTTGTTACCACAGTAACCCTGCAGATAGGTTGGTGAGGTCGGGACAAACAAATCCAATCGGATGGCTTGTAAATAACAGTCCCTGGCAACAAGTCCTCACATCTGGTAGCCTGATGCTGGGCTGCACATGTGCTCTTCATGCATCCATGTTAAGATCTATGTTAAGAAATTATTTAAAACTAATAGCGTCTGTAATGTAGAGTTTTTCCTCCAGTCACAAAGAGCCATAAAAAAGCATGACTTAGTACATTTCATCTCTTTTCTTTCTTCCACCTCCCCAGTCTTAAACAATCGTAAGAGAATAAATAAATAACACTTTACTTAGCCTTTAAAGTCCTTGAATATGAATTTATATTTCAATGTGTTTGATGAATGTTCTACATCTCCTTAAGGCCTGAACGTCCATTTATAGAAATGCAAAATTGCAAACAGCAGAGGCACAAAGACAATAAGCTGTGTGTGGGAGTGTAGTGCT